ATAATGGTCCTCTCTCCTATTTGTTTTAGCAGAGTTCAGGAAAGACTGAAGTTATTTATTTAAATGTTTTGTATGAGTCACTAATGAAGTCTGAGTTTAACTTGTATTGAGCTGTGTGTCTGTTTTCATGTGTCCATGGAAGGCAGAGGTCAACTTTGGGGGTTTTCCTGAGGTGTCAGTCACTGTGTGTTTTGAGGCAGGGTCTCTCCTTGGCCTGGACCCAGCCATGTATGGTAGGCCGGCTGGCCAGAGTCAGGCATCCACTTGTCTCTGCTTTCCGAACACTGGCATGATAAGTACATGCCATGTCACCTGGCCTTTTATGTGGGTTCTGGGGATTCAAACTCTGACTGACCTCTGCCCTTTTGAGAGGCTTTGATTATTGATTCAATGACTTTGTTATGAATCTGTGGAGAATTTCTGTTTCTTCTTGGGGAAGTTTCTATTTCTGTGTTCCTAGGAGTTTTTCACTTTCATCTAGATATCTTGTAATTGATGGCACAGAGTTATTCATAATAATCTCTTTACATCCTTTCTTATTTTATAAGGCTAGAGGAATGCCTTCACTTTTGTATCTAATTTAGTATTTATAAGTCTGGCCAGAAACTTATGATTTTGTTGAACTTTCAAACAACAGCTTTTGTTCTCACTGACTTTATAATTTTTCTAGCCTCTATTTCACTTCTCTCTGCTCTATTGTTTTTTTTTTCTTTTAATATTCTTTCTTCTGATGGTGAATTTGGCTTGTTTTCTTTCTCTAATTCCTTGAGGTATGATACTAAGTTATTATTTGAAATCGCTTGTTTCAGTTCTTACAAATAGGTTTATTTTTATGTTTTTATATGTGTGTATGTGTGTGGTATTTGTATGTGTATGTGTGTGTGTGACATGTGTGTGATTGTGTATGTGTGTGTGATGTGTCTATATGTGTGTGATGTGTATGTATGTTTGCTGTGTGTATTTGTGTGTTTGTGTGTGTGTGAAGGCTCCTTCTGCAGAGGTCAACAAAATGTGTCAGACCCCCTGGAACTGGAGTTATAGATGGCTGTGAGCTGCCGGACACGGGAGCTGGGAACAGAATGCAGCTCCTCTGGAAGAGCAGCGAGCCCTGTTCAGCCACTTTGCTCACTCTCCAGCCCGACCTTTCCTGTTTAGAAGGTTGACATTTACATCTACAGGTTTCTCCCAGCAAGCTGTTTCTGCAAACAGTGTTTAGAGTGGTGTGTTTCCAACTCTCACCCCTCAGTATCGCCAGCATCCCTTTTGGTTTCTTCTTTGGCACACTCACTGGTTTCTTGAGAGGGTATTTATTTATTTTCTACATGTTTGTGAAATTTCTAGTTTGCTTTCTGTGCTGGCTCCTTGTTTTATTGGGCAAATGGTTAAAATGGTTTAAAATGCACTTTCCAAAGTTTGGGCATTTTAGCTATTACTGACTGGTGTTCTGTGGTCCTGAGTCTCCTATGGTGGGGCATGTTCATGTGGGCCTGAGAAAGTGGTGTTCCCTGGCACTGTTGAGCAGCTGTTCTGGGCACTTGTGCTGGCTCCCTGTGGCTCACAGCGCTGTGAACAGCTTCTTCTTCCTCGCCTGAAGCCTGTTCTAAGTGATATACTGAAGCATTGCACAAAGAGATACACTGAAATATCCAATCCTTATAGACAGTTTTTCTTCCTGTCAGCTTTGCTTCAGATATTTGGGGGCTCTGTTATTAAGGGTGCACATGTCATTTCTTTCTTGAAGGAATCTGAAGAGTTATTTCTGACTACATAAAATTTGACTATGACTAGTGATACTCAGGCTTCACCCACAGATAAAACGTGATGTTGGTGAATTTATAATTAAACTGACATACAGAGGTCCTGTACTACTTTGAAGATGAGCCAGAAAAGGATAGAAAGTGGGTTAAAACACTCGGTGTTTAAGGAAAAGGATTACTGTTCTTGTTTAACGCAGCTGCCTTTTCTCTGTTCTGTTGTCAGCTCACAAACAATCCTGCCTGTCTCTGTGCTCCCACTGGCCCTGTCGGTTTCTGTGGTGGTGGTGGCTGGCATCAGCAGACCCGTCCTAGCTTCCATATGCTTGTACACACCTGGACAGTGCCTGTCTGTCTGGAACCTTGTTCTGTGGTATCTGAAGGTTTGCCCAAAACTTTGAATAGCAGCAGACGCCATGGCACATACCACCTCTCTGTGTGGCTTTCCCACTGGATGAACGGAAATGCTAAAGGCAGGACAGTTCCCATCGAGACGCTCCCTCATGCCTCATGGAGGCAGGCTGCATGCCCTGGCCTGACTATGCACAGCAATGGAAGCCCTCAGGGCGCTGTTGACATAGGTTGAAAACCACTCCTATGCTGGTCATCACAGAAACCAGCTCACAGCCAATGTCAGGCGGTAGATGAAAATCCGAGGGCTCCTTGAGGGGTTTCATGTGACGGATGCCACCGAGGTTAGCAGCTCCACTTCTTTTTCCTCAACGTCTCATCCAGCACTGATGCATCATGCTTAATGCTTAAGTGCATTCCTTGTGTTCAGCTTATTTTGGTCCTCAACCCTCCTAATACTGTGATCCTTTAATACAGTTCCTCCTGTTGTGGTGACCCCAACCATAACATTATTTTTGATGCTACTTCATAACTGTAATTTTGCTACTGTTATAAATTGTAATGCAAATATCTGATATATGATCCCCAGAGAGGGCATGACCTGAAGGTATGGCTCTGTGCCTCACCTGTTCACCTAGCCTTTTCTCATTCCCCTAAACCTGGAAAATTAATGTTTTAGGGAATTTTTTTGAAGAAAACAGTCTGTGGTAACAATTACGCTACAGTGCTTTTAAAAAAGTTCTCAGAGGTCCAGTGTTTACTTCAGAGACAGGCTGGTAACAAGACAACACTATGCATATCCTAAAACCTCTTAGTGCCATGCAAAGCATGAGCCCGGGAGCTCATGTGTGGGGCTAAAAAGGCTTCCGTGGGCTCATTCCAGGGCAGAGGAGTCTTTCCTCCAGTGGCAGCACGCAGCACATGGAGGTTTGAGAGGAGGGAGGTGTTGAGTAGAGACGGTGAGCGCTCGGCTTGTAATGGTGGCTCAGGTCTCAGCCTGAGCTGACCTCCTCCACGCCAGGATGGAGCACAGAGCCTGTGTGACTGGCACCCATTGTTAGTATACAGTTGGCCCTCCATATCCACAGGTCTCACACTGACAGACCCAGTGAAGGGAGCAAAGATACTTGGAAAAAAAAACCTACATCTGTATTGGCAGTGCTCGTGTGATTTTTTTAAATTCCCTGAATGATGTGCTTCAAGCTCTATGGTGTTTTAGTAGACAATTTAAGTAGTCTAGAGATGGCCTAATGTATGCAGAAGGGTGTGTAGGTTCTGGGCAAGCACTGCTTCAGTCTATGGAAGGGACTATATAAGTCTGTGTAAGCTTTTATGTGCTTCAGTATCCTTAGGGTACTTCAATTGGGTTCAAGTGTGTCTACACACACACACACACACACACACACACACACACGCACGCACGCACGCATGCACGCACGCACGCGCATGCGCGTGTGCCTGTGTGGACCCTAAATCATGCCCCTTTGATTCAAAGAGTACAGCTGTGCTTCCAATCTGAGTCAATTTTAGATTAGTAAACTGCCGGCATTTTGGACAGGCCCCTGAGAATTTGTACTGGAAATCAAGGAGTGAAGATGTGGAAGACAGTGGTTTGACTCTGTACTCCTCCTGCCCTCTGACCCCGCTGGAAGATGGGAGTCTTGAGTTTGAAGCTCATTAGCCAGACTGCTGTGTAACTAATCTGTTGTTTAATTCCCTTTCTCCATTGGTGTAAGGTCTCGGAGGCACAGGGTTTTGTTACATTAGGCGAGGAAGTGTGAGCTGGAGCTAGAATATGGTAGAGGTTACATAAGTGATTTGATCTAGGCAGGTCAATATGGTGGCACGACCACAGAGCCTGCTAGGCTGCAGATGCTCTCAAGAGGAAGCAGCAAGAGGAGACATGGGACCTGTCCATTGAGAAGGAGATGGAAACTAATGAAGGCCCAGGAAGTCTCTCTGAATCAAGGTGGAGTCTGGGATGGCTATTCCACCACCCTGGCAGGGGAAACCAACTTTCCTCAGCCACACTAAAGACTTTAGTATCAAGAGAATTCATATGAAGCTTCACAAATGCTTCCTTATGTCCACAGAGGTATTTGCTGAGCATGGAGCCTCTGGGATAAGAAGCCTAAATTCCAGATCATTCTCTATCATCTTGAGATAGATGTTTTAGTTATAAAATGAGTGTATTCTGACACTGGGGAGACTTCTCTTCATTTTTTATTTTAATTAATTATTTTATTTATTTTTTCATTTTTATATTTTTGTCATGGGGCAGGCCTTTTGAGACAAAGTCTTGTGTAACTCAGGCAAGTCTGAAACTTGCTATGTAGCAGAGAATCATCATGAACTCCTGATCCTACTGCTTCCACCGCCAAAGTGCCGGGATCATAGATGCATGCCACCAGACCTGTTATTTTAACATTTTTAAAACACACACACACACATACACACACACACACACACACACACACACACACACACACACACACACACGGCAATAACATACAGAAAACTAAAGGAATGCAATATCCATTCTAGGTAGCAGGTAAAAACAACTCAGGTCTAGTTTTCAGTCAACATGATGAGCTGATCATGAAGACACAGCTACTAGCAAAATAAAATAAAATAAAATAAAATAAAATAAAATAAAATAAAATAAAGAAAAGAAAAGAAAGAGCAATGCACTGCCCAGAAAGGACTTAAGGAAAGTCACTGCTCCTTGGTACATCACTGTCTACATTTATAGACTCTAGAATTTATTTAAGGAAGTACAGAGGTGCTAAAAACTCTGTGAGATGGGAATGTAGGGGAAAGTCCAAATGATCAACGGCTGTCAAATGCTTACAATTTGCAAGGAATAACACCCACATAGCCATTAATCACTCTTACCTTCTTGGAGATTAAGATTTGGCGCAACTCTTTCTTGAGATCAATAAAACGATCGTGAAAGAGGGCCATGCACCACGGCTCCGTGAAGTAGCTGGTGAGGAAAGAGGAGATTCAGTTAGCTGGCAACCCTCTCATTACCACTAATAAAGTATTTACCTGCTTTTTTGCCTTGATAAATTACAGTTCTGGCCCCATTGCAATCGTTTGCTCATAAAGAGCCTCGCAGAGCAGCCTGGCCAATCAATGTTTTAAATGGATGTTCCTGATGGAAGGCCAGGTTCCGTAATTACATTTAAAGTGGTTTAATTCAGAGCTGGGGCAGGACCCAGTGAAGAATCCTGATTTTATCAGAATTTAAAAGCCTGAAGACTTGTAAAGAACGGCGTCTCCATTATCTGCCCTCATTTGAGAAAAACAGATTGCGGGATTGACTGAACTGCTGCATGAACAGATTAAATTTGGGTAGAAAATAACACAAATGTTGATCATCATTAAGGTTTCTGGATTAATGATGAGCAGAAAACAGGCCACCTCGGTGCTGCAGGCTGGCCTCTGCGCAGCTGATGCTTAGCTGAGCCACTTGCAGGGAAACCGTGTTCTTGTGTTCAGATTTACAACCGGGTCCCCCAAGGGGACAGAACACATTTTACACAGAGAACATGACCCTCCATCATTCACAGTGATCCCTGAAAAATGTGATACATTCTTGGAAAATGTGACACATTGTTACCATAACCAAGTCCTCTTACTGACATTTTGGCCTTTCCTGTATTGTAATGGGAAAGAAGCATCTTGGGACAGGTCACTTAACTTCCTCAGGGTGAGAGCCAGGCTGATTCCGTGCTGTCACTGTTCTCTGGAAATGAATTTTCTGACTCTGCCACTGTTCTTGGGAGCCAGGGGTATGTACACAACAAGAAAAAGCTGGTTTCCAGCCAGAGCAGCAACAGAGGTACAACACCCCAGGGCTAGCGGGCACCGAGGGTGATAGCACAAGAGTCTGTGCTGGAGTCCGCGCGGCACTCAGTTGTCACCTGATTCCCTGCTTAATCGCCACCTGTAATTCATCCAACTATTAGCTCCACTAATACTGTTTACCCTTTGTCCCCAGTGTCCTCACCATGCTTCCATATACCAGAAGAACTATAGGGACCTAAAAGACAGATGTCCCAGCCAACATGGAGCTTATATTCTTGACATGACTATGGGATAGACAACAAAGAGGACTTTGTTGAGAAAAAAAAAATTAAACGAAGCAGGGACAGAGTAGAAACTGTTGGGGAAGGAGATGATGAAAGGTTCAGCTCTGAGGCTCAGAGAGCCAAGACCCAAGGGAAAGGAGATGGAGCCACATGGAAACCTGAGGGAAAAGCATTCCTGAGCAGGAAAAGGAAGTGTGAACTCCTAGGGGCATGGAAGGGCCAGGACACCTTGGAAGGTGGGACAGGGAGCCACAAAAGTGGGGTGGTGGTGTGGAGGAGATGGGTGGATATGTGGGTCACCTCTATGGAGATCTCTGGTCATATCCACCATAGGGTTATTCCATGGATGCATATCTTGGCAACTATGCACAGCAGGCGTCAATCAAGGTTCACTGAGTGAGTGGATGCTGCAAAGTCCCTGTTTTCGACTGCCTGGCTTTAAATTGTCTTTCATAAACCCAGGATGCAATTCTGTTAAAGGAGGTTAAACAGTGCAAAATGCCCACCATACAGGCAGCATCAAGAAAGGGAGAGTGAGTTGGATGTGTTGGTGCAAACCTATAATCCCAGCTCTCAGGAACCCAAACCAGGAAATCAAGAGTTGTTCAGGGTCAACCTGGGCCATATAATGAATTCACGGCCAGCCTGAGCTACATAGTGAAAACCTGTCTCAGAAAGCTGGGACTCAACAGCCATTTATTCTTCACATTTGGGGCATCGACAATCACTCACTGAAAGCACAAACCTTTCTGGTCAGAGCTGACAGCATAATTTATCTATGAGCATAAACAAATGTTCAGAAGACAGTTGACCCAACATCCCGCCATCAAAACAAGTAGTAGGTCCCCATCCCTCGGGCCTATGACTTCCTCTTCTATGAGCCTTTTGTGAAATTAATACAATTACATAATTTTCCCTTTCTCCCTCCAAAGCTTTCCATATACCCTTCCTTGTTTTCTTTACAAGTCATACCCTCTTTTCATTAATCATTGTTCCACACTTACATGCATTATACATATGCATATATATTTCCAAATACTACCTGCTCAGTCAGTATAACGTTACTTATATGTATTTTTTCAGGGCTGACCTTTTGGCATTGGATAACCAATAGGTGTGCTCTTTCCTGGGGATAATATCCCCGCCCCCAGCATTCCTTGGTTGCTGTAGTTCTTTGTGTAGAATTAAGGTTTATGGACTCTCTCCCTCCATCCATGAACTTTTCACCAGGTTTATCTGTATCACCACCTCCAGTATTCAGGGAACAGCAAGGGACATGGAGTGGAAAGAATGGAGGAGGAGGAGGATAGGGAGGACCGGTGAGGAACACTTCCTCCTGATGTGTGGTTACCTGCACAAGAACTGCTCGAGATGGGGCTGTGGCGGTTCCATCACGATAGGGGAGGGGCCCATGAAGCCCCTGTAGTTCCTTGTTGAGGAATTACAGACAGTTAATGGTTGCCGGAGAGAGAAGAGTCATTTCTTCAGTCGTGTAGCCACTTCAGTGGTAAGTGACTTCCTCAGACTCCAGTAAATAACCCCTACCCATGCAAACAACCTTGATTGTTCTCAGTGGGACACACACATACACACACACACACACACACACACACACACACACACACACACACACCTCAAAATAGCAATAGACATATTAGGAAGAAGGGGTTCAGCAAGATTGGGAAGGGTATGAAAGACAGCAATGGGGTAAATGAGCAAAATACATTATATACATGTGTGAAATTGTCAAAGAACAAAAATAATAAAAATCAACTTTAAAAAGACATGCTGAAAATCTTAAAAGCGAAAAGTGAACTGCTCTATATGGGTGGGGGGAGGGAGGGAGAACAGGAAGAGTGAGGGTGTGGATGGTGACAGAACACACACCTAGCATGTACAGGCCCTGGGTTTGATCCCTAGGATGGGGTTAAACAAGGAGACATAGAGAATGAGAGGGGAGAGAGAGAAGGACAGACAGACACACCCAGGGCAGAGGAGTGTACCTTGTTTGCCCATACAGATGACCCCTGGAATTCCCAGGGCAGCACAATGATGGGGTCTTTGGCTTCTGTGGTGATTGACTCTGACATCAAATTGCTCTCAACCAACCAAATGAAGATGTAGAAGATGAGAGACATCTCCGGGGAGGGGTGACACAGATCTTGGATTCTGAAGCAATGCCCCCTCTCGTAGCTGTGGTTCTGATTACAGAACTGAACATAACTTAGAAAGAAAACAACTAGCACAGAGATGGGCAGTGGTCTCCCAGGCGCCTGGGCTGTTTACAAGCGTTCAAGTTGTGTTCCGGTGTGCATGGCCTACTGACCACACCTCCACAGTCAGGGCGAGTACCTGCTGTCGGGAAAGTATTTCAGACAGCTGGAAAAAGGAACAGTGTCCTCTAAGAAAAAGAAACTGAATGCGGCAATCTGCCAAGTGCATGAACTGTAGAGGCTTGCAAGCTTCCTCTGTCCTTGGAGCCTGCTCATTTGGGTAGCAACTTGCAGAAAGCTGACTGGCTGGCTCTGCAGCAGCCATCTGGGTAGCAGCCCGCTTCCTGTCCACTTTCCTCCATCCAGACTTACCACACACAGCCTCCAAGAAGCTTAGCCTGTCCACATGCACCTTGCTAGACTCTGAGATCTTGCTTGCTTGTGGCAAATTTGGTTTTGTTTATTTGTTTGTTTGTTTGAAAGGAAGGAAGGAAGGAAGGAAGGAAGGAAGGAAGGAAGGAAGAAAGGAAGAAAGAAAGAAAGAAAGAAAGAAAGAAAGAAAGAAAGAAAGAAGGAAGGAAAGAAAGAAGGAAAGAAAGAGAAACAAAGAAAAAGAAAGTATGATTCCATCCCCAGCAGCTCTTAACTGCGAATAGTGCCACAGTAAGGAGTGGGCTGAGACAAGCTCTCATCCACGCCAGAATTTTGGCTGGCTTGATCTTGTGACTTCATGGCTGTAATAGCATGTCCTGTGGAAAAGACAGCATTTCACAGCATCCTTGCCCATCCTCGGGCTTATATCTTCTTTCCAGAGTTGGGAGAGGGTTGACATAGTCCTGTCTAGGGTTAAGCACTCAGTCTCTTAGTCTCGGCCCTTTGTCCAGTTATGTATCTCTCCATTGGCTTCTTCCCACTGCACAAAGAAGCCTCTCTGACCAAGGATGAGCGCAGCCAAGGGCTATTGCTATAAACACAATTATTTAGAAGTTGATTTGATGGCATGACCATGTAGCAAGATAATAAGCAGGTTTCACCCGAAGGCCAGTGGGCTTTTACCCAGGATTACAGCACCAGGCTCAAATCCAGTCAGAAAGCTGTTAGCTGCCTCATAACAGTTGTGCCACTATTGCGTTGGTGGACATATTTTGCCTGAAAGGTTCACAGAGGCTTCCAGCATTATGGAAGCTAACCGGCAGGGGAGACATTTCCTGGTTGGTTGAGGTTGATTTCTGTGTGTCCTTCAGCCAGAATGTGTGGTGGGTTAACCATAAGAGCATTAACCATAGCCTGGATATTATTAGCACTAGCATTAGCAATGACCTCTGGTGCCTCCCTGACCGATAACTGGGAGGTACCCCACGCTTTAGCAAATTACTACCCAAATGAGCAGGCTCCAAAAATTGAGGATGAATCTTGGTAGGTTGCTGCATTCAGTTTCTTTTTCTCAGAGGAAACCATCCTTTTCCCCAGCTAGCTGAAATACTTTTCCCAATAGCAGGTACTTTCCCTGACAGTGGAGATGTAGTCAGTGGGCCATGCACACTAGAACATGACTTGAACATGTCCTGACTTCCTTCAGTGATGGACTGTGATGTAGAAGTATACGTCAAATAAACCCTTTCCTCTCCAACTTGCTTTTTGGTCACAGTGCTTCATCACAGCAATAGAAACCCTAA